CTTTTACACTTTTATGACTGGCGTAGTTTTCAGAATCGATTGAGCGTTACATAATTTGCATTTAGCGCAGCTAGGGACAAATTGGTCTGTTTTCTTTCCTTATAAGAACTCGATTATTAAGTAGTAATAGTGAACCCGCGAGGCGTTAAAATGTCAAAATATAATTTAATTTTTAAACAGGTGGCAACCCTATTACAAAAGCCTAACAAATGTTTCATCTAAATCCACCATTTCTGAACGAAGAGAGGTCCATGGTGCCCATTTTTTATTTCATATAGCATCAAAATCACCCTATACCGCTAAGAAAAGTTGTACCTTAAATTTGACATATAATTTTTCAAATTCGAAATAACGCTGCAGCACTGATGACCTTTGTAAACATTGTTGACCGAGCTTTACTCGAAGTGCATATACTTTTTAAAATTTTCAAGGTTTGGATATCTGGTCATACTGGTCATTTGGATAGCTTTAAAAAATTATGTTGGAAAAAAATAAAAAAAATTTTGCATTTCGATATCTATTAAGTAAGAAAATTTCTTACTTTAAAATTAAGACTGCAACCCTATTTAGAAATATGCATTAATGAATATCCAGTACATATCTTGAGCGTATATGCACTGTGTGTACATACAAAAAAAAAATGCTGATTGAAATTAGCAAAACAATAAATTGTATTATATAGAAGCGTAGCAACCCTGATTTTAGCACCAAAGTTCTCAACAATACCTTTCATTTGATAATCATATTGCGAGGCGAAAAGGTGGCAACCCTAATCAAAATTATTTTCAAACTGAAGTTGTCTAAAACTGTTTCGTTTGGCACTCATATTTTAATTCGATTTTTAAAACAGGCGGTAAGCCTTTTAAAAACTTTTTTCAAACTGAAGTCGCTTTCGCCTGAAAACCGTATTGTAGTATTTCATATATGTATGTATGTTTGTAACTTGGGTATAAATTTATCAAATTCGACTTTTAAACCAGGTGGCAACCATCTTAAAAACTATGTTTATACTAAAATTTTCTTAAATCTCTTTCGTCTGACATTGTGATATATAAATATTTAAATTATCTGATGAATTAAATTTAATTTGATTTGTTTAAAACATGGCAACCCTCTTAAATAATGTTCAGAAAAAAGCCTTTTCAAACGCGTTTCGGTTGATACCAATCTCTTAGTAATTCATTTAACTTAATAAATAATTTGCATTAAGTATTTTAAGCTGGCTGGCAAGCAACCCTCTCTAAAAACCTCAAAAATATTCTAATTGCTCAAACTAAAAATTTCTTAAAATCGTGGGAATCGATGTCTTCGTACCGCTGCAGTTGGCTACCATCACCCACACAGGAATAGCTGGTGCGAAAAATGCCGTGCAGCTGCTGCGGAAGAGAGGCAGAAAGGCTTGAATGTGAATCACTTGAAATGCGGACAGAAACTTTAACAACTTGCGGACAGGACTTGAATGCGGGGTGAAAATTTTATTATAAAATAAGAATGTGGCACGCTTGACGAAGATGAAGGCTGCACTTACTTCAAGATATCAACGCAGAAAATCGCGAATCTCATAGAGAAATGGAGAGCATAGTTACGAGCTCGATTACGCACACAATTTTTATTTATTAATTTTTTTTTAATTCGACTTAGATTTGCGAGTGTTTGGAGGGAGGCAGCTTCCAAGCTAAGCTTGCCACTACCTGGTTCCGCCCCTGTATATGAAAATGTCTATTATTAATGCAATATTTATAATCGTACTGTGAAACATTTTGATTAGACATATATTTTTAACTGTAAATATACCCAAGAGCTAGACATACGTACTCGTACGTACGTCATATCAATAAAATTTACTTAAAGCACTTAATCATTTCATAAATTTTGACAAGTAGCCGGAAAATGGCGAGTTTACAACCCATTTATGATCAACTGATTAAGCAAAAATTTGCTCACCTGTCCCTGCAGAAAATACGGAGCTAGTCGCGCAAATGTTCTGTTGATAGTTAGCTCAGTAGTTTGGCAAACTCCAAATTGCATTTAGACCCATGGCTTCTTCGGCAAAATTTGCTTAGAATTGTATGTAGAGACTTTCTGTGCTATATGCGCATCAGGGCGAAAGAATCTCTAATACAAATTGACCCGCCCTATTGTAGATATATAAGTTGGTATGTTAGTGACTGGATCCATTTCAAATCATGCAGGCAATCCGATGGTTTATCGAGAATTAACTTCAGATTAAAATATGGTTTTATGCTTGAAAAATAAATGAACACGTATTTTTCTTTTAATTTTCATGGCATTACTTTTTAATTTTTTAGGGATTTTTTTTTTAGATTTTGTCAAAAAAACATAATTTTTTGGCAATTTTTTTTTTTACTTTTAGTAGTTTCCTTAACTTTTATAAAGGTTATTGTAAAAAAATGTTTGTACTTTTTTTGAATTGATCAAAAAAAGTGAAAAATGTTGATAAACGATTAAGAATAATATGTTTTTTTAATGAAAAAAACAATAAAATTTTTTTCTCAAAAAGTCCAACTTTTTTACCATAAAAATCTCATTTGGCATTTTTTCGTTCGTTAGGAGAAAGCAAATAATTTTCATTTTTTCTTTACATAAAACCTTCTAAATACTAAAATTTTTAAGATTTCTAGTTATTTCTTGAATGAGTTTTTTAAATTTTTGACACTTATTTAAATATATGTTTAAAGGGTTAAGGGTGGCTTTGTTCAGAAATTTGTATCGAGCATGAGTTCAGCCCAATAAAGAAACCCCTCACTATAACTGCCAAAATGTATAAATGTACAAATCGTATCATCCCTGCCTAGTATAAAATGGCGGTCTATTAGAGAAAGTTTCTTAGAATGAAATTTTGCTTATATTACATATTTTCGAGCTCGCAATCTAGAGAACATAACGCTGGCATAGAATGAAAAGTTCGCTTTTTCTAAAAAATTATATTTTGATGCAAGAAGCATAACAACTAATAATTCATCCTTTCCCAAAAAATCGAACTGCCTGTTTTATTTCCAACCGATTCTATTGCGGGATAAGACAACTTGTTAAGTCCAAAATAGTCACAGAAAATTGGATAAGCGCCAAAGATTGAAAAAAGAAAATGTTCATCAACGCTTGAAATACGCGATGTGTTGTATTAAAATTTTTAAAGGTTTTCATTCTCTCCTAAAAAATTTGAAAAACTGGTCTTGGCTACATACTACTCTTCACTCAAAAGTGTTCGATATGCCGTTTGCGATATTTCTTACGTTGCCAAATCAAATACTTACCCAAATCATGATTTATTCGATTAAATGTTACTTATTTTTGTTGCTTTTTCAAATTAACTATAGTTTATTGCTGGCATTTTTTTTTTAGATTTTTGTAGTACTGCATTTTATTCATTGGCAACGCCGGATTTTTCTTTAATCCAATCCACGTATGATGTAATACGAGTAAACGCACCTGGCCAGCCAACTTCACAGCCCAAAGAAATGCCGAATGAAGTGGCACCGATCAGGACGCTTTCCTCACCATCATTGTATATCAATGGGCCACCGGAGTCACCATTGCAAGTAGAAGTACCACCAGTAGTTCTGATGCAGATATTTGTTGATCTTATCGAGCCAAGGAACCATCTGTTGCATACCCTATTCTCCAAAATAGGCACTTCAATCCAGCGCAGCACATCGGTGGCACTTCTAGCACCTGTCACATAAACGAAAAAGTTATGAAACATAAATACATACATACTTACTATTTATTACACAAATAATTGAAGGCATTAAAACTTACTGTCGCTAATCTTTCCCCAACCAGAAGCGATCGCTTGTTTACCCGCATAGGTGTCGTATGTAGACGAGATTTTGGGAAGAGCAATTGGTTGAATGTAGTCTGGAAAAAATAAAACAAAAATAAAAAAACACAAATAAAAAAATATTTGGCTGAAGAAGTGTACAAACCGTTGAATGCTATTTGAACTGGCAGCTTAATAAGTGCAATGTCATTGAGCAACAAGGAGGCATCCCATTCTTCATGAACAATTATATTCCTGGCAGATGAGTAGATGATCTGCTGGTTCTTTTCAGTTTTATCGGTACGATTCCAGGCGCCCAGATACACGTCGACACCAATTGCGCTGTGAGGAACAAACAAATAACAAAGGTAGACGCGATTAGATATAAGCCAAACTGCTTTTCAATTATATTATTTTTGGAAATTTCATCCATACCCTTCTGCGCAATGGGCCGCTGTTAAAATCCAACGATCTGAGATCAAACTACCACCACACCACGCAGCTCCAATAGAAAGGTACAGCAATAAACCGGCTTGATGAGGGAATTGTTTCTCTTCGGCCACAATACCATTGGTTATACGTCCTTCAATACGGTCATAAGGCAACCGTGGATTAACTGGAATTGCTGGGCGGACATCTAACGAACGTACTTTAGACCAATCAACTTCGCTAGCGGACGCGATTGCGCAGCCCAAGAGGCATACGGCGAGAACAGTTAGTAGTTTCATATTCATGGTGTGGAACTCACGAGTACAGACATTGTAATATACCGAAATTGATTGCTTTTATACTTCAATGGCAGATAATCGAGTAATCACAAGGCGTTACGATAAGATAAATATATTTTAATTTATACATCCTGAATTAGTAGGTATTAGATTAATTTTATTAGCTTAATATTATAGTGTTATAATCGAAAGTTATAAAGACTTTTTGTTTTGATTTAAGGCTTCGACGTAGAGGGTCATAAAATCGGGTTTTTTCTCAAATCATACACTGAGAAAAAAAATTTAGTTATGTCAACTAATAAATAAGTTTCTTTGCTATAAGTTTATATTAAGATGACATTTTTCTGAGTGTAGACAACAGAAAACAGGGAGAAGTATAGCAGGGCTGATTGTTAGTTTTTGAAACATCACGATTTGGTATTCGAGGCCTAAGTATATTTCGTTGGCCAATATATTAGGCTATGTTATGTTAATTAATTTTAGACTAACTGAACCTTAAGCTTTTCAACGGAATCGTTTTTTTGGTTTGATCCGGCCTTATAGCTTAGTTGTGCATACTTTGCACTGCACTGCATAGAATGTAATTTTTATGTAGAAATCAAAAGCCAACAGACTTCCAGCTTTTAAAAAATTAATTCTTGCGGTGTGAGTATCGTTGATGTGAAGTTTATTTTAAATCACGGAAAAACGATATAAAAGCAACACACTTTTTCAAAAATCAAAATGAATGTTTTTCAAAAGGGATATTATCTAACTTTTGGAATAAAAAAAATTATCTCTGCGTAATGCGAATTTTTCTCTAAAATCATTTTTATTTCCCTCCTTCTCCATTGGGATTTATTTCTTAGAATTACAGATATATGCGCTGGCGATTTTTGCTCTGGTTTTGCTGCTGTGTCAAAATATTTTTGTGTGGTATTTAGGTTTACCAGAAATTCTAATAAAATTTATTACAAATTTAACTTTTGCTTAGTATTCACTCTACATATCAATTTATAGCAATTGGACTATGTGGTTTTTTCAGTTTTCAAAAATACCGTTATATGAAAGGCAGGCGCAGTTCCTAATCCTATGTCACCATTTTCATTACCGTCCTAGCCTAAACGAAGAATAAAAAGTGCTCCAAGTTTCATTGCGAAATCTCATTTAGTTTCGGAGAAAACGATTTTTTACCGTTGCTCCATACAAGTGAAACTACTGTGCGAATACTAAATTGTGACAAGCTGGAGGTATGTATTTGTGTGTTAGAAAGAAATCAAATTTTATTCGAAGTATGTCGGAAATGATTTTAGTTCTAAATTTTACTCTACATATTTACTAATATTACTGGTATAAAACTAATCAATCAGCATCGGCACACCAATTGATTAGAGTCCGAGATTTATTTATGGTCATTTGCCAATGAACTGATAAACCCTCTTTACAAAAATAAAAAACTTAAATACATACATACATATTGCGTTTGTGGGAAATTCCAATTGAAATGTTTTTTTCTTAAGTACCAGTTTATCAGTGCACGGCTGTGGTTTAAATTTTTACAAGGCAATTCAGGCTAAGCTAGTAAATAGTCTTTTGTTAGAAAAACTAAAGGCAGATGGCAAGATAGTTCGAAAGACTTTTGTTATTATAGCACAAAAGTCGTGGTGAAAAGCACTTAAGGTTCACTTGACAAGTTCGTCCTATATGAAAAGCTATATGTATATGGTATATAGTATGTATGTACATACATATATCGTTAGTTATTCACCAAATTCAGGGCTATCACTGAATCCATCGTAGGTTCGCTTTTCGTGAAATTACGAATGTGCTTATCATTGCATCCGAATAGCTACGAACGTAAATTCGAAATTCGTAGATAGCCTTCATTGAATCCGTTCTTTATGAAGATTATCTGTCGGAATAAAATTTAAAATCTCTGAATCTTAAAAATAATAAAAGCAAAGCTGCATTATTGTTAATAATAAATATTTATTTTGCTCAGAATTTGTTAAAGTTTGATTAATTCCGTATATTTGTGTAATTGTAGATGTAAAATACCAATCAAATACATACATACGTATCGTTTGCTAAACGGTATTTAATAAATGAATAAATTTTTATGTAGCGAGGAAATATTAGTTTAACAATAACTTATGAGGAAAGAACCCTAATTACTTTAATATCATAAAAATTAAATTAAATGATTTTTTTCTTTTTCAAAGAATTAAGTGTAAAGTAAAAAAAAAAATAAAAAAATTAAGTTCCGATGGTAAAGTAAAAAAATAATAATAATAAAAATAATAATTAAAAACAAAAGTTCTGATACCCGTGGACTCGGACTCGAACTCGGATCTCTCAAATGCCAGTCTAGTGCTTTCTTCAATCGGCCATTGCGGCTGCTGGGGCAACGTGAACAAATTGACATACAAAAACAAAAAAAAGGAAGTGCACCTGGGCCACACTGGAGAAGTGAAACTTACGTTACATACATATCAGTTTTGTCTCATAACCAATATACATACATACATCTGCTTTTGCTTAAGGCTATTTTTTGTCTTTTCTCTATCTAGTTCGCTGCCTCTACCCTTGTTACAATTATGTTATTCTGTTTTCCTTTATCTTCATACTCTATCGATAACAAAATCGACCGTAACATCCAACAAAATATCGATAAAAAACCGATAAAAATATCGATAACAAATTCGATACAAAATTTCGATAGCAAATCGATAATAACATTGGTAGCAAAATCGATTAGAAAATCGATAAAAATAAAGATAACAAAGCCGATAAAAAAGTCGATACAAGTATGGATAACAAAATCGATACAACAAAACAACAACAACAAAAACGATAGCAAAAACTATAAAAAGATCGATAAATAAACGATAACAAAATCGATAACAGTAGCGGCAGTGATGATACGACATAAACGCTCTTCAACAGCGTTTCAAATGCTAATACTAACATACCTGGTGGAGCGTTTAGCTGCGGCCAATTGGCGCCAAGTGAAACCGATGCATCTGCTGCGCTTCGACGAATATTCTGGCGATCAAATGTTTATGAGCATGGAAGCGGAGCATGTGGAAGACGACTTGCCCTCCAGTGACATACAAGCAATGGATCGAATTTTTGGCGGTAGTGTTGCACAACGGCATGCTTTTCCCTATCAAGTGGGTCTATTGTTGCAACGACCGAAGGGTCTATACTGGTGTGGTGGCGCGTTGATCTCGGATGAGTATATTTTAACGGCGGCACATTGTGTTGACATGTGAGTACCTAGAAGTTGGGATACTATGATGCCTCACACTCCTTGCCAGAAACAAAGTTCGGTTTATTTTCCCAAGCTGGTCATAAACTTTGGTCTATTCCACCAATTGGTCACAACAAAAAAAAAATGCAAAGAGAACTTTTTTGCCGTAAATAAAATAGGCGGAAAATTTAGAAGTTAGGATTTATCAAAGGGTGCTCGCAAAGATATTCTAATCTCAATCTTAGCTGCCTAAGAGAAAGTCATACAGCAGTAAGGAACAAATTTTTACGCTCACCGTGTGTGCTCCGATTAGACAATGATCTGTCAGAGGTCCCACCAAAAGCGAGAGGCGTGACCTTACAAAAAGGACCTTGCTACTGCGCATGTCCTTGTTTTCGCCCACCATTCGGTGAGCTTAAATGAAGCCCAACTGCCCAAGGGTGAAACAAAGGTGGTCCGTGGCGCTACATATGCTTTGGTCATTTTGATATCGTTCAAGGGTAGCCTTTCTCGCCAACTCGTCAGCCATAAGTGAACTCGGCGCCCTGATTGCCGCTGGGCTATCAGAGTAGCTCATTGAGTCCATCAAACTTTGACCAAGTATGAACTAGTTCACTGCTCGCTTCAAACCCTACAGCCGCCTTGGCCCGCACAATCACCCCTTGAGGGAATGTGTGTGGAGAAAAATTTGTCCGAAGCCACTACAGTAGCAACTGATGCCTTTCTTACTCAATCTTCAATGATAAATTTCCATGGGCCGGGCCCAAGTACTTGACACTATCAGCAAGCTGCAGGCAAACATCCACAATCGTTGGAAGATTTCCGTTGCGAATTTTGTGCTTCCTTCTTAATAACACCCGCTCTGTGTTACTAGAAGCCGCTGGCAACTCTTTCCGACCTTCGGTATAAACGCCATCCTTACGAAGCTCTAAGCCCTTGCGATATACCCAATCCTCCCATAATTTGTGTACATAAAAACCATCCGACCACACGAGCCTTTCATAGTCCCTGGCAGCTTTGCAGGTATGAAGGCGTCCAGTCCTGGAGCCCATGGCAAGCGACGATTATTCAGCAAGTTAGGGAAGTTTGTGAAACTCTCGTACCTAGCTGCGATGGCGGCTGCTCTTGGAGAAGGGTTACAAGGAAAATAGGCACTGCTAGTAGACCATATTCCTATTTCGCATCGTCGATAGCTAAAAGAAGCTCAATAGTGCGTCTATATCTCGAGAATCCATGAACCCTTCTACCAATTCGCAGAAGATTCTCCATAAAATCCTCTTCACTTTTTTATTTCAGACGTGCGGTTACCCAATCCAGCTTTATAAAGTCCTCAGTCTATTAAAATGTCCTCAAATCAGAAAACTCCGTCAACCACCAGAAGGGCTTCCCTCAGCGCTAACGCAGTATGGCATTATTTTTTTGTTTTAATAAAATATTAACAATTTAGGGATAGTTTCAATTAAATGCAGCTTACTAAAAATTCTGAATGAAGCCAAATATTTTAATAGCAACCATAAAATAGACCAAAGTCTATGATTTGCCACGAAAAAAAGAAACTTTTTTTGTTGAGGCATCCCAGCTTACCAGTGTGTGTTCCTAATTTATCGATACATACATATGTATGTAATTATATGTCTTCTTGTAGGGCGAAGCGCGCTTTGGTATTCCTGGGTGCTCATGAGATTAAAAACGCCAATGAAGTAGGTCAGGTGCGCATTATGGTGAAGCGTAACAACTTCATTATATATCCAACGTGGAATCCTCGCCGACTCAAGAATGATATCGCTTTGGTGCGTTTACCCATACCAATTCATTTGAGTGGTAAGTATATTTGTAATTAAAATGCATAAGAGATTGAAGGGCTCTCCAAAAGTTTTAGGAAATCATAAATTTTCTTTCAAATAAATATGTAGAAGTATTTGACCTCGTGGTGAAGGGCTTTAAGGCGGATTCATCGGTCTGGTTCTGAACGTTTCCTTTCATGTGGTTGTTGTTGTGTTTCTCTCTCTCTGTGAGAGAAAAGCAACATCACCTTCCAGCTCAATAAACGATAAATATTTTTCTAAAGTGCCCCTTAATTTAATATAGCCTCGCGTGAGAAGGCCAACTGAGAAAAAAGTTCTGAAATGATTTCACTTTATCATCTTCCAAACAGCCGTATCAGAACCAATAGTTGACGCTTTGCCAGCGGCAGGCGTTTCTTTGACCGCCTACGAATCGCAGAACTTTAGAGCATTGCATGCCGTGTTTTCGCCCAGCGATGTCTGAACCAACTACAATCCCATCTAGCCAGGAGTAGCCCAAAGGTTGAGACAGGAACTCCGTACACTTCTATGCCCGGAGGGATGGTATTATCAGCCATGCAGTTTCCTGAAATGGCATTGTGTCCTGGTGCACAAATCAGCTTGATTAGGACGTGATCTGAGCGAACGCGAAAGGGGTCAGGCCATCACCGAAAAGTTTAAAACATATCATAAATAAACATAGTGCCTTGATTGCGACAAATTCATCAGAATAGATGTTTACCTATAATCGGTATGTAGTTAGTCGACTGCCTCTTTAATAGCGGTTTGCGGAGAATTTCTGACAGAACAAACCTGCTCGAACTCTACCGCCAAAATTCAACACATAGTTGCAGGCATTGACCGGACCTCACTACCAAAGGCTGGCACTCTTCCATTCACCCTTGCTTTTCACAGGAGGAAGCATCGAAAGCCTTAACCCCGTCAGTGTGGAACTTTAATAGCACTAAACCTCCTACCGTTCTGTACCGTATCACCGCCCGGTACTACTGTGAACTATTGCATAGGGAGGCGGTGTGAACACAGAGATCAACGTCTGTTACTATCTTGTTTAGTCTTGTGAGTTAAAAGTTGCACCTTGGAATTTATATTGTATCTATGTACCCCACCCCTGATGGGTCAGCTAACCCCCACCCACCTTCCTTTATAGCGAACTTTCAGATTTCTAAACTAAACCGACTAATAGAACGACAATCACTGGGCACTTTCTTTTCGAACTGCTATAGTAATAATAGCTTTCTATCCCTTCTTGAGCGTTAGGACTTTCAAAGTGTTTCTGATATAGCTTTTAAAGTGACGAGCTTTTAAAAACTAAGCTACTTGGGGAGCCCTGCATTCTTCGTTTGCAGAATTCTAAACTAATGCAACTTGAATGTATGTACATATGTATCTAATGTTATTTTTACTTAACCTTTGCAGATCGCATACGCCCGATTCCGCTACCACGACGGAGCTATGAATATCGAGAATTTACAANACTTTTATGACTGGCGTAGTTTTCAGAATCGATTGAGCGTTACATAATTTGCATTTAGCGCAGCTAGGGACAAATTGGTCTGTTTTCTTTCCTTATAAGAACTCGATTATTAAGTAGTAATAGTGAACCCGCGAGGCGTTAAAATGTCAAAATATAATTTAATTTTTAAACAGGTGGCAACCCTATTACAAAAGCCTAACAAATGTTTCATCTAAATCCACCATTTCTGAACGAAGAGAGGTCCATGGTGCCCATTTTTTATTTCATATAGCATCAAAATCACCCTATACCGCTAAGAAAAGTTGTACCTTAAATTTGACATATAATTTTTCAAATTCGAAATAACGCTGCAGCACTGATGACCTTTGTAAACATTGTTGACCGAGCTTTACTCGAAGTGCATATACTTTTTAAAATTTTCAAGGTTTGGATATCTGGTCATACTGGTCATTTGGATAGCTTTAAAAAATTATGTTGGAAAAAAATAAAAAAAATTTTGCATTTCGATATCTATTAAGTAAGAAAATTTCTTACTTTAAAATTAAGACTGCAACCCTATTTAGAAATATGCATTAATGAATATCCAGTACATATCTTGAGCGTATATGCACTGTGTGTACATACAAAAAAAAAATGCTGATTGAAATTAGCAAAACAATAAATTGTATTATATAGAAGCGTAGCAACCCTGATTTTAGCACCAAAGTTCTCAACAATACCTTTCATTTGATAATCATATTGCGAGGCGAAAAGGTGGCAACCCTAATCAAAATTATTTTCAAACTGAAGTTGTCTAAAACTGTTTCGTTTGGCACTCATATTTTAATTCGATTTTTAAAACAGGCGGTAAGCCTTTTAAAAACTTTTTTCAAACTGAAGTCGCTTTCGCCTGAAAACCGTATTGTAGTATTTCATATATGTATGTATGTTTGTAACTTGGGTATAAATTTATCAAATTCGACTTTTAAACCAGGTGGCAACCATCTTAAAAACTATGTTTATACTAAAATTTTCTTAAATCTCTTTCGTCTGACATTGTGATATATAAATATTTAAATTATCTGATGAATTAAATTTAATTTGATTTGTTTAAAACATGGCAACCCTCTTAAATAATGTTCAGAAAAAAGCCTTTTCAAACGCGTTTCGGTTGATACCAATCTCTTAGTAATTCATTTAACTTAATAAATAATTTGCATTAAGTATTTTAAGCTGGCTGGCAAGCAACCCTCTCTAAAAACCTCAAAAATATTCTAATTGCTCAAACTAAAAATTTCTTAAAATCGTGGGAATCGATGTCTTCGTACCGCTGCAGTTGGCTACCATCACCCACACAGGAATAGCTGGTGCGAAAAATGCCGTGCAGCTGCTGCGGAAGAGAGGCAGAAAGGCTTGAATGTGAATCACTTGAAATGCGGACAGAAACTTTAACAACTTGCGGACAGGACTTGAATGCGGGGTGAAAATTTTATTATAAAATAAGAATGTGGCACGCTTGACGAAGATGAAGGCTGCACTTACTTCAAGATATCAACGCAGAAAATCGCGAATCTCATAGAGAAATGGAGAGCATAGTTACGAGCTCGATTACGCACACAATTTTTATTTATTAATTTTTTTTTAATTCGACTTAGATTTGCGAGTGTTTGGAGGGAGGCAGCTTCCAAGCTAAGCTTGCCACTACCTGGTTCCGCCCCTGTATATGAAAATGTCTATTATTAATGCAATATTTATAATCGTACTGTGAAACATTTTGATTAGACATATATTTTTAACTGTAAATATACCCAAGAGCTAGACATACGTACTCGTACGTACGTCATATCAATAAAATTTACTTAAAGCACTTAATCATTTCATAAATTTTGACAAGTAGCCGGAAAATGGCGAGTTTACAACCCATTTATGATCAACTGATTAAGCAAAAATTTGCTCACCTGTCCCTGCAGAAAATACGGAGCTAGTCGCGCAAATGTTCTGTTGATAGTTAGCTCAGTAGTTTGGCAAACTCCAAATTGCATTTAGACCCATGGCTTCTTCGGCAAAATTTGCTTAGAATTGTATGTAGAGACTTTCTGTGCTATATGCGCATCAGGGCGAAAGAATCTCTAATACAAATTGACCCGCCCTATTGTAGATATATAAGTTGGTATGTTAGTGACTGGATCCATTTCAAATCATGCAGGCAATCCGATGGTTTATCGAGAATTAACTTCAGATTAAAATATGGTTTTATGCTTGAAAAATAAATGAACACGTATTTTTCTTTTAATTTTCATGGCATTACTTTTTAATTTTTTAGGGATTTTTTTTTTAGATTTTGTCAAAAAAACATAATTTTTTGGCAATTTTTTTTTTTACTTTTAGTAGTTTCCTTAACTTTTATAAAGGTTATTGTAAAAAAATGTTTGTACTTTTTTTGAATTGATCAAAAAAAGTGAAAAATGTTGATAAACGATTAAGAATAATATGTTTTTTTAATGAAAAAAACAATAAAATTTTTTTCTCAAAAAGTCCAACTTTTTTACCATAAAAATCTCATTTGGCATTTTTTCGTTCGTTAGGAGAAAGCAAATAATTTTCATTTTTTCTTTACATAAAACCTTCTAAATACTAAAATTTTTAAGATTTCTAGTTATTTCTTGAATGAGTTTTTTAAATTTTTGACACTTATTTAAATATATGTTTAAAGGGTTAAGGGTGGCTTTGTTCAGAAATTTGTATCGAGCATGAGTTCAGCCCAATAAAGAAACCCCTCACTATAACTGCCAAAATGTATAAATGTACAAATCGTATCATCCCTGCCTAGTATAAAATGGCGGTCTATTAGAGAAAGTTTCTTAGAATGAAATTTTGCTTATATTACATATTTTCGAGCTCGCAATCTAGAGAACATAACGCTGGCATAGAATGAAAAGTTCGCTTTTTCTAAAAAATTATATTTTGATGCAAGAAGCATAACAACTAATAATTCATCCTTTCCCAAAAAATCGAACTGCCTGTTTTATTTCCAACCGATTCTATTGCGGGATAAGACAACTTGTTAAGTCCAAAATAGTCACAGAAAATTGGATAAGCGCCAAAGATTGAAAAAAGAAAATGTTCATCAACGCTTGAAATACGCGATGTGTTGTATTAAAATTTTTTAAAGGTTTTCATTCTCTCCTAAAAAATTTGAAAAACTGGTCTTGGCTACATACTACTCTTCACTCAAAAGTGTTCGATATGCCGTTTGCGATATTTCTTACGTTGCCAAATCAAATACTTACCCAAATCATGATTTATTCGATTAAATGTTACTTATTTTTGTTGCTTTTTCAAATTAACTATAGTTTATTGCTGGCATTTTTTTTTTAGATTTTTGTAGTACTGCATTTTATTCATTGGCAACGCCGGATTTTTCTTTAATCCAATCCACGTATGATGTAATACGAGTAAACGCACCTGGCCAGCCAACTTCACAGCCCAAAGAAATGCCGAATGAAGTGGCACCGATCAGGACGCTTTCCTCACCATCATTGTATATCAATGGGCCACCGGAGTCACCATTGCAAGTAGAAGTACCACCAGTAGTTCTGATGCAGATATTTGATGACTGAATTAAGCCGAGGTACCATAAATTGCATGACCGATTTTCTNGTCACCATTGCAAGTAGAAGTACCACCAGTAGTTCTGATGCAGATATTTGTTGATCTTATCGAGCCAAGGAACCATCTGTTGCATACCCTATTCTCCAAAATAGGCACTTCAATCCAGCGCAGCACATCGGTGGCACTTCTAGCACCTGTCACATAAACGAAAAAGTTATGAAACATAAATACATACATACTTACTATTTATTACACAAATAATTGAAGGCATTAAAACTTACTGTCGCTAATCTTTCCCCAACCAGAAGCGATCGCTTGTTTACCCGCATAGGTGTCGTATGTAGACGAGATTTTGGGAAGAGCAATTGGTTGAATGTAGTCTGGAAAAAATAAAACAAAAATAAAAAAACACAAATAAAAAAATATTTGGCTGAAGAAGTGTACAAACCGTTGAATGCAATTTGAACTGGCAGCTTAATAAGTGCAATGTCATTGAGCAACAAGGAGGCATCCCATTCTTCATGAACAATTATATTCCTGGCAGATGAGTAGATGATCTGCTGGTTCTTTTCAGTTTTATCGGTACGATTCCAGGCGCCCAGATACACGTCGACACCAATTGCGCTGTGAGGAACAAACAAATAACAAAGGTAGACGCGATTAGATATAAGCCAAACTGCTTTTCAATTATATTATTTTTGGAAATTTCATCCATACCCTTCTGCGCAATGGGCCGCTGTTAAAATCCAACGATCTGAGATCAAACTACCACCACACCACGCAGCTCCAATAGAAAGGTACAGCAATAAACCGGCTTGATGAGGGAATTGTTTCTCTTCGGCCACAATACCATTGGTTATACGTCCTTCAATACGGTCATAAGGCAACCGTGGATTAACTGGAATTGCTGGGTGGACATCTAACGAACGTACTTTAGACCAATCAACTTCGCTAGCGGACGCGATTGCGCAGCCCAAGAGGCATACGGCGAGAACAGTTAGTAGTTTCATATTCATGGTGTGGAACTCACGAGTACAGACATTGTAATATACCGAAATTGATTGCTTTTATACTTCAATGGCAGATAATCGAGTAATCACAAGGCGTTACGATAAGATAAATATATTTTAATTTATACATCCTGAATTAGTAGGTATTAGATTAATTTTATTAGCTTAATATTATAGTGTTATAATCGAAAGTTATAAAGACTTTTTGTTTTGATTTAAGGCTTCGACGTAGAGGGTCATAAAATCGGGTTTTTTCTCAAATCATACACTGAGAAAAAAAATTTAGTTATGTCAACTAATAAATAAGTTTCTTTGCTATAAGTTTATATTAAGATGACATTTTTCTGAGTGTAGACAACAGAAAACAGGGAGAAGTATAGCAGGGCTGATTGTTAGTTTTTGAAACATCACGATTTGGTATTCGAGGCCTAAGTATATTTCGTTGGCCAATATATTAGGCTATGTTATGTTAATTAATTTTAGACTAACTGAACCTTAAGCTTTTCAACGGAATCGTTTTTTTGGTTTGATCCGGCCTTATAGCTTAGTTGTGCATACTTTGCACTGCACTGCATAGAATGTAATTTTTATGTAGAAATCAAAAGCCAACAGACTTCCAGCTTTTAAAAAATTAATTCTTGCGGTGTGAGTATCGTTGATGTGAAGTTTATTTTAAATCACGGAAAAACGATATAAAAGCAACACACTTTTTCAAAAATCAAAATGAATGTTTTTCAAAAGGGATATTATCTAACTTTTGGAATAAAAAAAATTATCTCTGCGTAATGCGAATTTTTCTCTAAAATCATTTTTATTTCCCTCCTTCTCCATTGGGATTTATTTCTTAGAATTACAGATATATGCGCTGGCGATTTTTGCTCTGGTTTTGCTGCTGTGTCAAAATATTTTTGTGTGGTATTTAGGTTTACCAGAAATTCTAATAAAATTTATTACAAATTTAACTTTTGCTTAGTATTCACTCTACATATCAATTTATAGCAATTGGACTATGTGGTTTTTTCAGTTTTCAAAAATACCGTTATATGAAAGGCAGGCGCAGTTCCTAATCCTATGTCACCATTTTCATTACCGTCCTAGCCTAAACGAAGAATAAAAAGTGCTCCAAGTTTCATTGCGAAATCTCATTTAGTTTCGGAGAAAACGATTTTTTACCGTTGCTCCATACAAGTGAAACTACTGTGCGAATACTAAATTGTGACAAGCTGGAGGTATGTATTTGTGTGTTAGAAAGAAATCAAATTTTATTCGAAGTATGTCGGAAATGATTTTAGTTCTAAATTTTACTCTACATATTTACTAATATTACTGGTATAAAACTAATCAATCAGCATCGGCACACCAATTGATTAGAGTCCGAGATTTATTTATGGTCATTTGCCAATGAACTGATAAACCCTCTTTACAAAAATAAAAAACTTAAATACATACATACATATTGCGTTTGTGGGAAATTCCAATTGAAATGTTTTTTTCTTAAGTACCAGTTTATCAGTGCACGGCTGTGGTTTAAATTTTTACAAGGCAATTCAGGCTAAGCTAGTAAATAGTCTTTTGTTAGAAAAACTAAAGGCAGATGGCAAGATAGTTCGAAAGACTTTTGTTATTATAGCACAAAAGTCGTGGTGAAAAGCACTTAAGGTTCACTTGACAAGTTCGTCCTATATGAAAAGCTATATGTATATGGTATATAGTATGTATGTACATACATATATCGTTAGTTATTCACCAAATTCAGGGCTATCACTGAATCCATCGTAGGTTCGCTTTTCGTGAAATTACGAATGTGCTTATCATTGCATCCGAATAGCTACGAACGTAAATTCGAAATTCGTAGATAGCCTTCATTGAATCCGTTCTTTATGAAGATTATCTGTCGGAATAAAATTTAAAATCTCTGAATCTTAAAAATAATAAAAGCAAAGCTGCATTATTGTTAATAATAAATATTTATTTTGCTCAGAATTTGTTAAAGTTTGATTAATTCCGTATATTTGTGTAATTGTAGATGTAAAATACCAATCAAATACATACATACGTATCGTTTGCTAAACGGTATTTAATAAATGAATAAATTTTTATGTAGCGAGGAAATATTAGTTTAACAATAACTTATGAGGAAAGAACCCTAATTACTTTAATATCATAAAAATTAAATTAAATGATTTTTTTCTTTTTCAAAGAATTAAGTGTAAAGTAAAAAAAAAAATAAAAAAATTAAGTTCCGATGGTAAAGTAAAAAAATAATAATAATAAAAATAATAATTAAAAACAAAAGTTCTGATACCCGTGGACTCGGACTCGAACTCGGATCTCTCAAATGCCAGTCTAGTGCTTTCTTCAATCGGCCATTGCGGCTGCTGGGGCAACGTGAACAAATTGACATACAAAAATAAAAAAAAGGAAGTGCACCTGGGCCACACTGGAGAAGTGAAACTTACGTTACATACATATCAGTTTTGTCTCATAACCAATATACATACATACATCTGCTTTTGCTTAAGGCTATTTTTTGTCTTTTCTCTATCTAGTTCGCTGCCTCTACCCTTGTTACAATTATGTTATTCTGTTTTCCTTTATCTTCATACTCTATCGATAACAAAATCGACCGTAACATCCAACAAAATATCGATAAAAAACCGATAAAAATATCGATAACAAATTCGATACAAAATTTCGATAGCAAATCGATAATAACATTGGTAGCAAAATCGATTAGAAAATCGATAAAAATAAAGATAACAAAGCCGATAAAAAAGTCGATACAAGTATGGATAACAAAATCGATACAACAAAACAACAACAACAAAAACGATAGCAAAAACTATAAAAAGATCGATAAATAAACGATAACAAAATCGATAACAGTAGCGGTAAGAAAATCGATAAGAATATCGACATCAAATTCGATAAAAATATCGACAACAAAATCTATAACAATATCGATAACAAAACCAATACCAATATAAATATAAAAGATATCAATAACAAAATCGTAAAAATATCGATTACGAAACCGATAAAAGTATCAATTATAATATCGATAAGTTCCAAAGATATCGATAGCAAAATCGATAACTATAGCGATAAAAATTTCGTTAACAAAATCAATAAAAATATCGATTATTACATCGATAAGTCCCGAGTATCCCGAAAATCTTTAAAAGCCCAAAATAGTTCACAGATTGAAACCACTACCACTATTTTGTGTTTGGGGATTTTGTTTTCGAGGTATTCGTGGCTCTCCTTTAGCGAACTTTTAACTAATTCCTATATCCTTTTTTCTACAACTACCTTTATTTTAATCTTTCTTCCTCTATCTTATTTACTTTTATCGGTATCCTCATCCTCATCATTTTCTTTATATTTATCTTGGTTTTACTTTTATGTTTATCATTCTCTTCATCTACATATTCCCCTTCACTTTTGCCCTATATAAGTAAAATGTTTAAATTTACCTTGATCTTCATTTTTGCCTTTATCTTTACACATCTTTGTTTTTTGTTATTATTTTCACCTTTGCCATTATCGTTTTCTTTATCTATGTACGTATTCGCCTTTACTTTCATTCTTGTATTGGTCCTTTTCTAAGTGTAATTCTTTAACCTTTCAGCCTTCACAGCTTACATCCAGATTTTTTCCATACTTGAAAGGCACACCTGATCTCATACATATATGTATTCATCATTTTTCGAAGACTCAGAAATTTTCAATTACAAAGCAAACTGAACCAAGTTAAAGCTCTGCCTACATATTGTTTGCGTGAAATTATTAAATGATCGAGTCAAAATACATTCCGTTGGTCTGCGTACTTATCGTTCATTTACTGAAATCGCAAAATCTAAATGCCAGAATTAGTTTTGATCCAGTCCCTGAAAGCGGTCACACGAGTAAAGGCAACAGGGTAACCTTTAGCGCATCCCGCTGAAGCNGAATTAGTTTTGATCCAGTCCCTGAAAGCGGTCACACGAGTAAAGGCAACTGGGTAACCTTTAGCGCATCCCGCTGAAGAACCGTACGAAGTAACACCAATCAATAGACCGGAGGACTGCAACACCAACGGCCCACCCGAATCACCGTTGCAAGTGGATACTCCGCCAGTCGTGGCGATGCAAATGTTGCCGCTGGTTGCATACGTTGTGCCATATGTTGCAGCGCAAGCAGCATTGGTAATCACTTGCACGATGGCATATTGCAAGTAGTTGGTCACACTGGTAGCAGAATCACTGATACGTCCCCAACCGGAAGCGATGGCAGAATCACCGGCATATGTGGAGTAGGAACTAGCAACGGCAGGCAATGGGACAGCTTGGATTCTGCTAGTGTAGGACACTGATGGGATTTTAATGAGAGAAATATCGTTCCTCAACGTATTGGAGTTCCAGCCAGAGTGGATGATTATATCACTGCTCGATACGGTGTATGTAGCTTCAGCCGCTGTACGATAAGTTGCACCCAAGTAGACGGTCACATATGAAATACTGTGTGGAAAAAAATGTATAATGTTAACTCAATCGCTCAAGTTAGTGCAATTAATTTTGTTGAGATGTTTTTTTGTCTCAGTATTTACCCGTCGGTACAATGAGCAGCGGTAAGGACCCATTTGTTACCAATCAAAGAACCACCGCACCAGGCTGACGAAGTAGAGCTCACTTTCAATGAGAGACCAACTTGATATGGGAATTGTCCAGTTGAAGCGGTTTGGCCATTAGTAATACGTCCCTCGACGTTGTCATCCAAAACGGGAACAACTAGTTCCCTTTGGAAAATAGTTGGCGAAGCGTAGGCCGAAGCCAAGAGGAGAGCGAATACTACGAAGAACTTCATGGTGCTGTGCTTAATGGAGCAACTGATGTTTGTTGCATTGCAGTTCAGCGCTTTTATAGGGAAATTGAAGGAAAGCAATAAGTTTTTGGTAGCTTAAGAGCTTTAAACTATTTTTTATTTCCATTAATACATTGTATATGAAACAGTCAGTCACAGTCATATCTATAGTTTTCTGTTAAGTTTATTTCTAATTTATCTTATCGAGTAGTGAGTAGTAGTATCACTGCATGTAATTCCCATGTCTTAAAAATTTGCAAACACCTATTTGTAAATGTCGTCTATAAGGGATTACATTTCATACCTGAGCGTAGCTATGCGTGAGGCCATTACTCGTATAACGGTTTCCATCGGTTTCTTTTTTTTTTTGATATCTATGGGCGGTTTTTGAAATTTTGATTTTTGAATATCGAATAAAAAGGATTTTTTTTTTATCGAACCAACCGTTTTTTTTTTTTAATTTCATTCAAATCTTGATCTCTCAATTAAAATGTTGGATTTTCCGAAATTTTCAAGGTTTTTTTCTGTTTAAGGAAACCCCTTAATGGAGAGATCTAAACTTTTACTCCACCTCTGAAGAACCTGTTTTATGGCAGAAGTGCTGTCGCGGGATTGCCATTGTCTGCCCAGGGGAGACCGCTATTTAATCCTTTTTTGATGTTGCTGGGACCATAAATTGAACCAGGCCAGCCGGCGTATGAAAGTATGTAAAATAAAACCGGTTTATCCTGGTTTTCCTTAATTTCAGAATACTGAACCAGTTTTTTGCAAATTGAAATTTTTCGAATAACTGGAAAACCGGTTTAGGAAATGGGCGAATAATCGAACACGAAAGGAAATACATACAATTGTATACACAAATAATTTGGCGATGCATAATTTTTGGCATCCAGTTTGCACTCTACTCCGTATTCGTATTCGCCTTCGCGCTCGCCTTCGTTTTGGCTACAACAACCCCGCTCTGATCAGATAGTCTCTCAGTCGTCGTCGTCAAGCTCAACTAACGACAGATCCAAGAAGCATGCAGCCTCCATAGGGACAGAGGCGTCAGTTGAGTGGGGTTTTTTGGGCATGCGAAGAGATGTTTCGATTCGTACGGTGTCTATCCGCATGCCGGACACTCATTTGGCACATCCGCATCTAGTCTGTTCAGGTACGAGTTCAACCTGCTGCAGTAGCCAGAGCGAAGTTGAGCTATTGTGGTCCGAGTCTCCTGAGGTTGACGAATCTCCGTCTTGTCTACGTCAGGTGGTTGTGTACCCAGAAAGTCACTCACAGGTCTGGACTTTACGTAACTGGAGACCGACTCCCTGTGAATGCCACTCAAGGTCTGTTGATATGCTTTCCGGTCCAGAGGTTGCTTTATGTACCTCTGGACTTCCTTCGTCAGTTCGTAAGGATGCCTTCTGACGTGCCTTGGCGAGGGCTCCTCTGCAAGCAAGAGTCTGTTCGGGTGTCCACGTCTGTGGCTCCCTACTAAGAATTGCTTGCAGAGCATTGTGTTCTGCTCCTTTATGGGGAGAATTTGCGCCTCGTCATGCAAGTGATGTTGTAACGACATCAGAAAACATCTGGTCGCAGTTCGGAGTGCTGTATTCTGTGTTGTCTGAAGCTTCATCCACTGCGTCCTATNCTCCCTACTAAGAATTGCTTGCAGAGCATTGTGTTCTGCTCCTTTATGGGAGGAATTTGCGCCTCGTCATGCAAGTGATGTTGTAACGACATCAGAAAACATCTGGTCGCAGTCCGGAGTGCTGTATTCTGTGTTGTCTGAAGCTTCATCCACTGCGTCCTACAGGCCCCGGCGACTACACTGTTGCTGCGTAGTTTAGAACCGCCCGGCCAATTGCCTTGTATGTTGCCAGCAACGTTTCTTTGACTTCGCCCCAGGTGCTGCCGGCTAGCGACTTGAGGACCTTGTTGCGGTTCTATACTGTGTTGACAATTGCGGTTATGTGCGCGGAGAAGGAGAGCAGACTGTCGAATGTTACTCTGAGGATTTTCGGGTTATTCACCGTCGGAATTGGTATGTTATCAACGTGAATACCCAGCTGCAGTCTGACCTTCTTCGTCCAGGTGGTGAATAGGGTAGCTGAGGATTTTGTAGCGGAGAGGGTTAGGCTCCTAGCAGTGAAGAAGCGAGAAAGATCGGAGGGGGTAATCGTTTACTTTCGAGCACAAGTCATCAATTCTCATCATCAGACGGCATTATCGAGCAATTGTCAGCGTAAGAGCCAATCTAGACTCCTTCTGGAGGTTAAGGGAGCTTAGAAAATTAACAGTTGAACAGTAATGGGGAACTCCCTGTGGAACCATCTGTTTTATTTTCCTGGGCCTACTAAATTTGTCTCTAAACATTATTGACAAGTGTCGGCCACTCAGATAATTTCCCGACCATCGTTTGAGTCGCTGTGGGAGAGAGGAGGCCTCCATGTCTTCTAGTTTTAATTTAAGTTGTTAGCTTCTACCATGATATCCGAAAACTTTCCAAATTCAGCCAGTCAGCTCCAATTGCAGTTCTTTACTTCTACCCTGCTAGCCGAAGTCTTTCAGTGCGCGATTTATATTAAGCTCGACGCGCAAGTTTTCGATAATAATTTTATAAAGTTACCTCTAGATATTTTGCTTCCACAAAGACTTAAGTTTACTCCTTTAAGCACCGAAAGGTTGAGACCTTCCAAGCTTCTTTACTGCATAAACAAGACTACAGTTGTATTTATGGGGGTGACAGCAATACCCCTCATCAATCTTATTCCAGATCCTCAGTGTCTTGACGCTGACCTACCTGAGGGATTTCCCAATTCTAGTGCACATTACCATTAATAAGCAGTCCGCTACCATAGACCAAAAGAGAGGTAAGAGTACACTGCGCTGAGGTTATCCTCTGCCTACAGCTGTCACGGTATAAAGGACAACTTCCTACCACAAAGTCAGCAATCTCCTAGATACCTCGGAGTGTATCCACTTCATAACTGTTCCGAGTGGTATAATATCCTTCAGAGAATCAACCCTATAGGCCCATCCACACACAACGCAACGCCAAAGTTGTATGTGGACGGGCCTTAACTGTTAGGCACTGTTGAAGTAATACCTTGTACAGTCTACTGACTGTTCTCAAATTTAGACCGTTATATTATTGAGTAAAATACATGCTGTTAGTCTATGTTCATTATCGTTCATTTATTGAAATCGCAAAATTTAAATGCCAGTATTGGTTTGGATCCAGTCCCTGAAAGCAGTTACACGACTGAAGGCAGCGGGGTAACCCTTAGCGCAGCCGGCTGAAGAACCGTATGAAGTAACACCGATCAATACTCCTGTGGACTGCAACACCAATGGGCCACCTGAGTCACCGTTGCAAGTGGATACTCCGCCAGTGGTGGCGATACAAATATTGCCGCTGGTCACATACGTTGATCCAAATGTTGAAGCACAGACAGTGTTGGTAATTACTTGTACGGTGGCGTATTGCAAGCTGTTGGTCACACTGGTAGCAGAATCGCTGATACGTCCCCAACCAGAAATGACTGCAGAATCACCGGCATAAGTGGAGTAAGAGCTAGCAACGGCAGGCAATGGAACAGCTTGGATTCTCCTAGTGTAGGACACGGATGGGATTTTAATGAGAGAAATATCATTCCTCAAAGTCCTGGAACTCCAGCCAGAGTGGATGATTATATCACTGCTCGATACGGTGTATGTAAGCTCGGCCGATGTGCGTTGTGTAGCACCCAAGTAGACGGTAACTTGTAAAATACTGTATGAAAAAATAATAATCATAAAGATAATGCAATTAAACTATATTAAAGGTTTTTATTTTAGTACTTACCCGTCGGTACAGTGAGCAGCTGTTAGGATCCATTTGTTACCAATCAAAGAACCACCGCACCAGGCTGACGAAGTAGAGCTCACTCGCAATGAGAGACCAACTTGATATGGGAATTGGCCAGTTGAAGCGGTTTGGCCATTAGTAATACGTCCTTCGACGCTGTCATCCAAAATGGGAACAACCAATCCCCTTTGGAAAATTGTTGGCGCGGCGTAGGCCGAAGCCAAGAGGAGAGCGAATACTACGAAGAACTTCATGGTGCTGTGCTTAATGGAGCAACTGATGTTTGTTGCATTGCACTTCAGCGCTTTTATAGGGAAATTGATGGAACGCAATGAATTTTTGGTAGCTTAAGAGCTCTAAATTATTTTTGATTTTCATTAAGATAACAAGCAGTCAGTCGTAGTCAAATCGATAGTCTGCTGGTAAGCTTATTTTTAAATTCCTATAAAATATGACCAACGATTCAATTATCTTATCGAACGCCTGGAATTCAGCTACATATTTCTAATAACACATTTTAATTCATTTAATGCATGCAAAATTTTAAAACTTCGTAATGATGTGCATATTCGTAGACATGCTAGACATTATACTATTTGCAACGGAATATGATGTGATAGGTTTTTTGAAAGTCACAATCCGCCACGTCTGAGTTTTTTTTTTTAGTTGCACTCAAAGAATCTTCCAGAGTAAAAGCGTTGATTTTTGGACTCCATCCATACTTCTCGACCTATTTTTATTGGAAAATTACTAATACCGGTGGGCCAAACAGTTATTACTAAAGCGAACCGAACTAAAGACATACATATGTTCGCTTGGCGCGCAATACCTCGTATCCGCCAAATGCAATACTACCTATAAGATAGTCCGGAACTTTCACATATGTAGGAGCGAAGAAACTTATTTTCTTAAAACTTTTAAATGGTGTCCCAACTAAATATGAGCGTCTACTATCACTTCCACTATTAAATTTGCGAAACTTTTATATATTGTGCCTCCTATATCAACTTTAGTTGTTTAGTCGATATCGCTGAGCGTATAGTCGTTTAAAAATCTGGCTCTACGACGGGCTAGGCTAGTGTTGACGCAGGTGGTAATGAGGTGGTAATGAGGTGTCCCATTGATTCCTCTTCTTCATCACAGAACCTGCAGATATCTTCACTACGGAGGCCAAGCATATGCCATCATAGCCCTCATGGCCAGGCACTCAGATTAAGGATACTCTATTTTGGACGGCTAGGTTATTGAGTGCTCTATGGCACTCTATAAGGGTTTTTATGAGAACGAGTAGCTATCTGGAGCTTTGAGCGCAGATTTGCTGTCCGAAAATATGATGATTTTTTTTCTGTTTATTAAGACGTAGGCTTTCTCCAGTATGGCAGTAAGTTCCGCCTGGATAATCGTTGTGTCTTTACTTAAGGGGAAAAATGTGCGGAAACGCGGTCCCACAACACCCGCACCTACATACATCTTAAGATGTTTTTGAACCATCGGTATACAATTTTTGTGAATGATCGTGCAGCCACGTAGCATTCCTGCTGCAATATTCTCGAGTGGGAAAAATGATCTTGTACCTCCTCGTAAAGCCGAGGATGGGATCAATTTCTCTTTCTGCTTTCTGTTGTATTGCCACATGAAGGGGTGTAAGATTGAGTAGAGCATCCATACCTGTAGTGGGTTTTTTTTTCGTTGGATCTTGTACAGTTTTTTAATGACCATTATTTGAGTAGTCTTTTGCCACCATACGAGTGCTCCATACACTATTTTATGGGTTTGACCATTTGAGCATAAACCCAGAAGGTCACTTTGGGATTCAGCCCCCATGTTTTCACACGAGTTGTTTCGTCGTAAACAACGATTTCATTGCTTCGTTGATAATAGAGTTGAGATGTGACTCCCAGATGAGTTTCCTATTCAGGGTTATACCTAGATATTTGACCTATTTCTTTAGGTGAATCGCAGTCCCATTTATGTTTAGATCTGGAAAGCATATCTTTGTTTTCCTAGTGAAAGGGATGATTGTAGTTTCATTGGATTTTATGGGCAATCTATTTTTCATACATCAGTTATATGTTGTTTTTAAAGCGTCCTGCATTAAGTCCCTCATGGTCGTCAGCGTAGCCTATGGTTCGATATCCTTTCATCCACCAGTATAGATCACAACAGTGGAGATAACACTCACCCTATGGACAGCCTTTTACTACTACCGAGTTCTTCCGGCCTTAGGTTCGCCTTGATTATCCTCTTGGTAAGCATATTGCCGACCCAATTGACTATTTTGCGATTTGCACCTCTATTGGATAGTGCCGCTTCCATGGATTTGAAGCTAGCTTTGTCAAAGGCACCATCTATGTCCATGAATAGATCTAGATAGTATATTCTCCCTTAGGTGGTGATTCAGTGTCTTTTGCATGAAAGATGAAAGGCTAATTGGCCTGTAAGATTTTGGAGAGTCTTGGGACTTATTCCCTCCCTTTGGGGAAAAAGGTTACTTTGAAAATACTTTTTACTTAGAAAATTGAGCTAATTTCACCATTCAGGACACCAGCATGCTGGTGCAATCATAAAATTATCAAATAGTTTTTGAAGTCGCACCAGCAGCTGGTACAATCACACCACAAGAACATACACGGTCAATCGACTTGATGGGCCCTTTAACAAATTAAGCATATTAAGGGCCGTAAACTTATCTATTTTAAACTATAATTAAATCGTGAATAGATAAGTTAACAGCCCTAACACTTTTACAGTATGTATACAATACATATCGTCGATGTTTTTGCAAAACCGCCTAAATCGCCATTGTGGCAAAAATGAGATTTGGTAACCCTGAACTCCATGCATCGAGATTTATGCATAAAAATCGTTATTAAAACAACAGATTTGTAAAATAATAGCTAAAGCAAATACCACCTATCAAGGCAATGCCTTCAAAGAATAAACCGTTGTTTGGCTCTCCTGTAAAATTTGAGTGCCGTAAGATAGACGGCTTTGCAATTGGGCGATGGGCGGTTTTGCAAAAACATCGACGATATATGTATTTATATCAGTCTTTCTTGGTTTAAAAATTCATCTCTTACATAAATGAAACAAAAAAGAGATCAAAATAAGCAAATACAACTTTTTCATACCAAGTATGAATAAGTTCTTCAAAGGGCTTGAAAAAGGGCTAGGGGAAATTTTAAATTTATGTGGCCAAAAAAAGTATGTGGTAGCTAAATCTAGCCACCAAAGGGCTAAAACGGCAACACTGATTATCACAACTATTTATTTTAAGTCAAATATGCAGATCTGATAGCTTTACTATTCTTAAAACTTGGTTGGTATATGTTGTAGTCTCATAAGACAAGGCACCAGAACAAAAAGCTCAACTTTTGAGCTTTCAGTCTAAAAAATATACATTATACGTAAGTATTCTATTAAAATTGTTTATGTACATTAAATTCCATTTACCAGAATCAGAAACCGTTGGAAAAGTTTATTACCATTCATTAGACTCTAATGATTAGAGTAAAACAAGCTTTGAATAGATAAGCATTACTTACGTATAGAGAAAAAACTAGTTCCTCTAAGAATTACCCTCATATTTATGTACCCGTATTTTCTGTACTTATATATACTTATATACCACTTCAAAAGATTACTACTTCAATCAGTTACTGTTGCCAAAATTATCTGAGATTCATTGATAAAATTTGACTTTTTGTTGCACTTCAAATGCGTGCGTGCACATTGCTTTAAGTCAATCATAATTTTGTTTATTATCAAAAAATTGTTCAAAATGGTTACCAGTTATGACCGGCTTTTATCTGAAAATCATTAATCTAATTATTCGTAAAAATATGCAATAGAAACCCAAAATGCTGAGCATAAGAATCTGTAAGAGCTGCAAGTTCTTAGTACNTCCATGCCCTCTTTGTTAGAGTATGAGTAGTATACATATTTGAAAAAAAACTTCACTGTGAAGCAAACTGAATTCCGATGCAGACCTTTAATATGTATGTACAAGAAAAATTTTTAAATATTAAAAACTGTTTCTTCGAACTGTACATTTGAGAGAAGAAATGCCAGTAAAATATGGGCGTATACTGCATGAATGCAATGATTATTGGATTCAAAGGAAATCTGATAGTATTTTTCGGGCGAGAATTCTGTTTAGACCGAAACAAGCACACTTTCCTTTTCAAAAGAATAAAGCTTAAAGACATAGCTTAGAGTGAAATGTTGCTAAGTCCATTTTTAGAAATTTTATAGCAGAGAATAAAAATATTAAATGATTTCGTATTATTTTTGGACTTAGCAAATTTGCTTTTATTTGAACATAAACGCGAAGAAATAATACAAGTTCCTGAATCCTTTTCAAAACGATGCATTTTAATTTCACTTTGTTCTCATATCAAAATATGAGTTTTCAGAAAAAGTGGACTTAGCAACTTTTCACTATAAGCTAGCGATATGTATTGTGTATCGGTATGTAAACCGGTAACACAATTTATTGGGTTTAGTTTCCTACATAAAGGAGATATATCGCAAAAACTGGTAACTGAACAATCAGTGCTGTAGGAGATAAAGCTTATACAACATAGATTTTGACGATTTTCTCAGTAGACTTTGTATTATTATTTATAAAATATCTTACGAAATTTATCAGTTTTAGCTGTTCAAATAAAGGGGTTTTACAGTAAAATCCCATATCTGAACAATCAGATGTATGGAAGATATATGTTGTAGTCACCCGATCCTTGTTATTTTCACTGTAAGTATTCTGTTAATAATGAGTGAAAATGGTGCGAAATTTCATGGCTGCATAAATGGAGAAATTATAACGAAAAATCTCATATCTGAACAATCAGTTGTATGGG